GAAGTAAGGGGTGCAGAAAGAATACACAGATCCGGCAGGCAGACCCGCTTCCCTCAATCTCATCCCCCGACCCCGCCTGGTAGCCTTCCTCAGGTCCTCATGCCCAGGCCTTTCTGCCAGCTCCCATCATAAAGTGCACCTAGAGCATCCTCAGAGTGACCCACGTGCCTCTCTGAGCCTCAGTGTCCCCTTCGTGGGAGGGAGTGGGACTAGAGGACCTGCGGACCCGACCTCCCATCCAGCCCTGACCTGGCAAGTCCCCTGGCCCTCCCGCTCCTTGGCCAGGGCTCGTCCTGAGACGGGCCAGCCGTCCGCACTCACTGTGCCCGCAGCTGCACCGAGGGGAGGGACTTCTTTGCGATCCTGGCCCTTGGGGCCCAGGTCGGAGGCTCCGGCAGCAGGGGTGGCTGGGGAAGCGGGCACAGCGGGCAGTGTGGGAGCCAGCGGCAGGCCGGAGCCCACCCAAGCCCCCGGCCCAGTCCGGCCTTGTCGCGGGGCTGGCCACGGAGGCGGGGCTGGACAGGCGGTGCAGGTGTCCGCGAGCTCCCACGTTCACCGCTCCTGGGGTGAGCATGCCCCGCGGCCAGCAGCCCGGCGACGCTGGGCCCGGCCCGGCCAGCGTCTCCCGAGGCTGCAGCCCTGCCTGCCCGACGCGCACCAGTTGCTAGGCGCCCGGGGACTCGGGCCTCAGTTCCATAGGGCAAGGGGCCTGTTTGGGTTCAGGGCCATGATAGGTGCTTGGACAACTTGGGCAGCGGAAGCCCCTGGGACTCCTCGACCAGCACTAGTGCCTCTGCCTTCAGGTCGCTGCTGCCGGAGATGGGGGTGAGGTGGGGGAGCGAGCTGAATCAAGACTGGGTGAACACTGGTCAGTGGTGACACAAGGTGAGGTGCCCAATGGCAAACAGCACCAGGCAGCATGTATAGGGCGCGGAGGGGGCAGTTGGGCAAGTTTGGTGTAATTCAATTTTCTGGGTTGTTTGCACATCAGCTTGTGTCAAAGACTTATTTTTCAGGTTCAAAATAACCAGGCTTTCCAGAGTACTGATGAGCTGTACCTTTCAAATGTTAGCCAGTTAATAATTCCTGACTAGCCCAAATTAGGTAAATGACCAGGAGTTCCCTCACCAGTCTGCCCAAATTCCATGTTCTGACTCCTTTGTTTTGGTTCCTTTGTAAAAGGTTAGGTGTGTGTGCCCTCTCTGGCTTGGACATCTAGCACCTTTTGCACAGTGGGTCTTAGCATCTGTACTCTTGCCAGATAAAGTTATCATATAAAGCCTCTACCTTCATGACTTGACTCCCCACTAGAGCTGCAAGCTTATCCCTGGTAATATGGTTTCAGATCCCACAAAAACTCCTGCAACTGCTCTCAACACACTTTTCTCCATTCTTATTAAGCTCTACACTAACCTTTCCTAGGTCACTTGGTTACTTTTTTAACACTCAAATTAGGCCTGGAATTGTAACACTGGCCCCACTACTTAGTTATGTGATCCTGGGTGAGGGAAAGTTAACCCACCTAACAAGGACTAGGCTGCATATTAAAAATCACATGGAGTACTTAATTAGAAAAAAGTCTAGGGCTCATCCCAAAACCAATTACGAATTCAGTTCTGGGGTTGCAATCAAAGTGGAGAAACACTAACCTAGGATTATGTGGATCAAGTGATACACTGGCACCCAGCAAGTGATCAAATGTTTATTAAATGGTCTCCTCTTTAGTTGTGCTATCACACCCCTACCTGACACTTCAGGTGACCAAATTCTACCTCTTCTGTGAAACTTTCCAACCTTCACAGCATGAAATATCTACTGTACTCTCCTAACATGGTTTTCTAGTATTACAAATCATTATTCATACAAAATGTAATTTGAGTCCTCCAAAGTAAATTATATATACAGATATATATCCATAAATCCACACTCTATCCCATTCCTCCTTTTGCCATCCCCCATCACCAAATACTCAAGGACTATAATATGCCAGTAATTGAAGTCTCAAGATTTTAAATGGCTATTTTGCTGATGAGGTTAGATTCCCTTAAAAAAGTGAAGTGCCTACAATGCACCAGGTATTGTTCTAAGTGCCAGAAAAGAGAAAGCTAAGACTCAAACCTTACATTGGAGAACGGCTGGGAAAAGCAAGTCAACAGTTTCAGATAGCAATTAATGCTATGAAAAAAGGTGATATAGGAAGACGTGTGTCAGAAAAGACCTTTTTCCAGAATGAGAAAGCCAAGTACCCAGACCTGGAGGCTGAAGTCACTTTTGAACAAAGAATATAACTGGGGAGCCAGAAATAAAATATCAAATGGGCCTCCCAGTTTCCATGCCCTAATTACAGGGACCTGTAAATATGTTACTGTACGTAGCAACAAAAGGGACTTTGTAGATGTGCTTAAGATTTTGAAAAGGAGAGATTATCCTCAATTATTCAAGTAGCCCAATGTAATCACAAAAGTTTTTATATTAAGAGGGAGGCAGGAGGAAGATCAAAGACGATGTAAGCAGAGATGCCACGAGCCAAGAAATGCAAGGGGCTCCTAGAACTGGAAAAGGCAAACAAGTTTCTCTAGTCTTCAGAAGGAACACAGGCCTGCTGACCCCTTGATTGGGCTGTGAAACCTGTTTTACATTTCTGACCTCCAGAAAAGTTAAAACAAATTAAGTCACTTAAGTTTATGGTGATTTGTTACAGCAGCAAAAGAAAACTAATACATTCATTTAACAGTGAGTGCCTACTACATGTCAGCAAATGGGCAGAAACTAAAAGGCCTGGCCTTAAAGTTTACTACCTAACAGAAGGGAGGTACACCTATGGGAGGAATGTGTTAGCTCGTTGACACCAAATCCGTAAGGAAAAACAGTGGGAGCAGAAAGCTGTCATCTTCACATGGAGGTGGGCCCAAAGATACCAGACACCCGCAGGAGGCTCTATCACATCCTATACATCCCCAAGGCACTCATTTCACTGTATCTGTTGCTTGTGTTCCCACTAGACCCACAACTGAAAGCAGAGGCTATTTCCATAATTCACTGTTGTATGCCCACATTAAGTGCTGAAGCTATACTGCACAGCAGCATTGAACACTTTCGAGCTAGGCACTGCTCTAAGCATTTTACATGACATGTAACATCTAATCTTCATTAAAATCCTATGAAATTAGGCACAATTATCTCCATTTTGCTGATATGGAAACCGAGACAGAGATTATTTATTGGCCCAAGCTAATAAACAAGTGGAGACTAAATATGAACCCAAGCAGTCTGGCTCCAAAGCCAACACTCCTAATCCAGCCAACCACAAATGAACCTTCAAAGAAGTTACTAGGGTAACACTGGTTCAAGGACACTGAGTCCAAGACAACTTTATAAAAAATGAGATAGCTAGGGGACGATCCACTAGAGAAAGCCAAACCTTAGAAGGATAAACAGGAAACAAACATATATGAGGTGAAATCTTGTAGAACCTACTGGGTGCCCAAACCCCTAAGGTTGGTTAGGCCTTCCAGAGGATCCCTTGAAAGTAATGACATTTATAAGAGGTGAGTTTCCCAATCAGGTGAATGTGCTTTTGAATAGGTTCCACCAGCTCACGAACATTTTCATACCTATTACTGTTCCTCACAATCCTCTTATAAAAGCAGACTTGTTATCCCACTTTACTCTCAAGAGTTCTCTATGGGAATCCCGGTTCTCTGCAACCCCTCCCACATTTCCCCATCCTCTCTGGCCCCAGGCCACACAGGCTATACAGTCAATACTTTGCTCACTTCATTTTAGGTATTCTTACACAATCTTAGCCCTCCCTGACCAGCTGAAACAGTTTTAAATACTTTGGGTGATAATCTATCAACATAGGTTAATTGACTGTAACAAATGTACCACTATGGTGGTGAGGAGTCAACAGGAGGTTGGGCACACAACAACTGGACATGTGAGTTGGGCGACAATGGGCATATGGGAACCTTCTCTACTTTCCAGTTTTACTGTGAAATGAAAACTGCTTTAAAAAATAAAGACCATCAATTTAACAAAAAAAAAAAAAGGCTTTGCTAAGTATCACTCTGTATATGAAGTGCTTACTCCTATCCCAAGACTTGCCACATTTCATGCACCCACCCATCTGCACCTAGATTAAGCAATATGCCATCTGTATAATTCATCCCATCATTAGTCTTAATTCTGACCCTGCAGAGGCCACTGATGAAGAACTCAAAGAAATTCTATTTGTCTAGCAACTTTCGAATATTAAAAAGCAATAAATGACTATGGTGCAGTAGTACCAAAATATTTACTAAGGGAGCTGTTTCACAGTGCATCAGACCTTTGACATAACTAAACGAGGACCACAAAAATTTTTACTTTCATTCTATATACTTCATGTTACACTCTACATTGTTCACTAATCTAGGTGAGACAATACATGAAATATAAAGGAGTTATTTATAAAATACCAAAACCCTCAAGTTTTTGCCCATTAATTTCACCAGATGCTCTGAAATAATTTGCATCCCTGGGCACAAATTTCATTTTTTCCTTCATAATACCCACAGTATGTAACAATTATTAGTAACTCTCATAAGTATGGCAAAAGATGCAAAACAAGAACACAAAAATGGAAGGCAAAAGAAAAACAACACATTTATATGGTAGTTTATAAACAAGCGAAGGCCCAAGAAATAAATTTTAGAAACTGAATTCAATTTTTTCCATAAACCAAAGTTGGATTACTGTACCTACAAATTATGTACAAATGCTTGTGAAACAGGCTTAGAATAAACCCATTTTGAATCACTCAGCACAGTTAAATACAAAATCTTTTGTAGAGAAAAGCCTTTTAAAAACCTAAGAGATGTTTTTCACAGACTCGACCCTGATTTTGCACAAAACAGGCAGATGATTTGGCTTAATTTTATCACACACCAGACTTACCACAATAGTTAAGGGAACACAGAGGCAGGCTAACAACCAAAAAAATCACAAATACAACAATGTATTTCATTTTGAGAGCAGGTACTGTTTATTAAACTGACGAGACTCCAAAAATAATCATGGTAGACACCTGAAAGGAAAAAATAAAACCATTAGGAAACACTTTAGCCAGCTAACAATTAACATAACCTAGACAGTTAAAAAGTAACGATTGAGTTTACATTTTTAAGATCACCCAATTTCCATCTTTAAAGACTCCCCCAAACAGGCTTTTCCTTTCCTCCAGAAAGGTCCTCAAAAGCTAACCAACTGTAATCATTAAGTAAACAAACCAACCGTAATCATTAGGACAGTTGATGCCGCTCCCCACAAAAGCACTGATTAAAATTCAGACCCCCCTCAATATTTAATGGGAAAAGTATTCAAGATTACCAGCACTTGCGCTCTAGCGTTAACTCGACCTTTCTCAGGATGAGGTCTCTCACCTTAGTTCATTCTTCTAATAAGCCTGTTGATCTGGTCCTCCCTGTTGCCAGCATCTCCACCTTCTACAAAATGGGTGGTCTTTTTCTTCATTCCACCTCGTGGAGAAGATAATTTGAAAGGCCACAGGAAGTTATTTGCCTCTTTGAAGCGTTTTCCAACAGTATAGATCTCATGAATCAGATCCTCCATGCAGATGATGCCATATTTACCTAAATATTTTAAGGTTAAGATTATTAAAGTTGCAAAAAGTTTTGAATTAATTGATAGACTTTAGGACACCCAACAAGAGCAACTGTAGGCTGTGAGATAAAAACACGCCAGGAATAAACAAGGTAAATGCATGGCTTTATGAAGATAAGGTTCAAGCTAATGAAACCACGCCTTACGTTTTCTTTACGCTTAATCAAGAATCACAGAGAATATATGAAGATTCACAATAGTGAGAAATGTACAGCCACAAGAGGATAGGAAGTTATCGCATGGTCAAATTTTCCCCCAAACACAACCTACCAAGAGATCGAGCAATCAAAGCGTTATCTGTCAAAGCAATTCGCTTCTTATTGATTTTGCCATAACCACGCTTGTAGATTAGCTCATTTACTGACTTCAGATTGGGGTACCTGAAGTGAAAAAGCAAACATAAATAAGGTGACCACTGTTAAAACATATAAAATTCATGTTGACACATAGTCAATTTACCAAACAGAAATCAAAGGAGAAAAGAGACTTACCCCCATGCAATATATGGCTCTACAATCCTCAGCATGTTAATCGAAGCCTTGTTGAGCTTCACAAAGGTTCCATTGAAGATTTGACGAAGGCGAAGAAGCTGCAATACCTTTCGGACCTTTGGGCTCACGCCATTGATACTATGGTGAAAAGGGACCAGAAATGCATTTGCCTTTCATCGAAATTTTTATTAATACTAACCATTATAGTTTGGAATATCAAGTCCTACACCTAAACAGACAGGAATCCTCTCACGTTACACACTGAACTTCTGTATTCGATTAAGAGAAGGGATAGGAGCGTGAGGAACATGGCTCGCAACTAAACCATTAGTGATCACCACCCTCCTTGTTCTAGCTTCCCCTAAAATATTGTTACTCCAGTGTTTCAGAATCAGGGCTCCGAGAAGTAATGTGAAGTTTTTTTGTTTGTTTTTTTACCGGTGCTAACTCTCCCTTTCAAACCTGAATACAGTAAAACTGAATTTACCCTCTGATCCTGATGACAAACGCCAATTTGGGTTCAGCAGGTACGTAGAAGTTGCCAGCTTTTCTTGCCATCCTCGCCATTCGAATTTCAGTTCTGTACATCTGCCTATATTCCTTGTGATAGTGCTTCGCTTTTTCATAGATAAGCTTCCTCCTTGCCTTTCGAAGCTGAAAACCAATCATCAGTTATTCATGATTTTTAGCTCTCAATCACAATTAGCAATGATAGTTATTAAAAAGAAAACGAAAACACGTTTCCTTTAAGTATTTTCTTGCCACAGTATGCAATTACATCCCCCACCACCTTCAGACTGTAACATTAGGAAGCTAAGCAATTACTCGGTACAGTTAGGAAGTAAATCTTGCCAAGAACATTCATCTCATTCTCAATCCCAACAAGGCGTCTCCTTATGTGCTAGTGCCTCAAAAAGTTTACTTACCATCTTTTGGGCAAACTTCTTTCTCAGGCGCTTGATCTTCAGCTCTGCGAAATTCCTTCGCTTTTTCTTAAGGGTTTCTGGCACAGCAGGAACCTTCTTCTTCTCTCTAACGTTAACAAGCAAAAACCTTATCAATAGCTCCAAAACCTCACAGTGCTGTATTACTCCCGTACTGAGCAGTGTTGTTTAACAGAAATGCTGTCACTGACTTTAGTCACTCGTATAACTTTACTTGCTCTGGTATGCTACAGTGTAGGATGCACATTTTAGCTCCGTCAATAACCTTTAACACCAACCACGTTGCCTAAAACCCAATCACAAATATGACACAATAGCAATACGCTTTTACCTATTTCAACCAAGAGGCCCGGCCTCCGACGACTAATTTAAAAAAAAACAAAAAACACACCAACAGCCGAATAACAAAATGTTCCTCCCCATAATGTTCCCAGGACGAGCCTCACGGGGACGAACTACAAATCCCAGCTTAAAGACTGCTGCAAGGAACTCATCCCCGGACTTTAAGCGCAAAAATAAAAACAGAAATAAAAGGCAAGCCACCACCACCCTGGTTCAATCAGGATCCACATGTTGAAAGCAAAGGCCTAGCGGCAGGGAGGCCTGAGTTAAGCACCAGCCAAGGACGAACCCAATTCTGAGGTTCTGCGCCTACCCGCAAAGACCCTCTACTGAGGACTGGGCCGTCAGCCAACCAACGGGTTCCACACACATTCCAACCCGACATCTCGTTCCCGGGATCTCCAAAACCTCTGTCCTATAGCCGCCTGCATCCCCATCCTAGCCTCGGTTCCCCACTGGTGTCACAAAGCGTCACAAACAAGCAGGAAGGTGGGCAAAGGTGCAAGCTACAGCCAGAGAGAGAAAAAGTGACTCAAAAAGTATCTGGCTCTGGAGATGGAGAAGGATTCTCGAGAAGCCGTGAAACTTACTCCGCACCCTCCATGGTTCCAGCCGGAAAAAGAGGAAGTTGGCGCATGCGCACTGTCCACTTAAAGACTTCGAAAGAGAAGCCCCACGACTCATAGGTGTCTTAGAATAAGCCGGAAAAGAATCCAGAACTAAAAAGCCGCCTTGCAGACGCAAAATTAACAACTCCCTGATTTAGCCTCTTTCAACCAACTTTCGGGTAAAACTTGTTTGAAGAAAATATATGCATTTGATTACACTTTTTAATCAATTCAAGAGCAAAGGATGCTGACACCTCGGCAACTCCGGGTCCTAATCTCCAGGCTGCGCTGACAAGATTAGGCTCGGGTTCCTCCCCATAATGTTCCCAGGACAAGCCTCATGGGGACGAACTACAAATCCCAGCATGCACGACTCCTCGCCCGCCCGGCGGCAAGGCAACGCCTGATCCGGACCGCAGGCAAGCACCGCGGCGGCGGTTCCAGCCAGGAAAATGCGAGCCTTTTGGGCCACGTTCCAAACGGCTAGCTGCAATTCGAAGTCACTTCTGGCCGCCCTCCCAGCTCCCTGCCGCGGTAGTAGCAGACTACACCCCTTTCGCCGCGCCGCGAGGTCCTTGTCGTCTCGCCAGCCCACAGGGCTGTCTTCCGCAGCGCCTGATCGCAGGCGGGGCGGTCCGGAGTGCCCTGGTTAACGAAAAGTGGCGACCAGGGAGCAGCGGGGACTGGACGGCCGGAGGAAGATGGCCGGGGCTCTGCTGACTGCCGAGATCGGCAGGCGGAGGCCGGGACACCCCACGGGAGGGGGCGTGAGCTGCGAAGGGAGGTGCGAGGAGGGCTGAGGTTGCGGCCACGGCCGTGTGAGAGGGGCTACCCCGCTCGGCTCTGCGGACGCTGGCGGGCGGGGGGCTGGGCCGGGGGCGGGGTGCGCCCGGGGGCGGGGAGGCCGGGCGGAGGGAGGGCCGATGCCGAGGCTGGCGCGGGCTCTTCCCGGTCGCGGGGTTATATAGCGCGGAGCGTGGAGCCCGCTCAGAGCCGGCCCGGAGCGCTCCGACTTGCAAGCGGGCTGTGCTGCGGAGCCCGGTGCCCGAGTGACAGCCGCGGGGAGTTCAGGGCCGGAGGACGCGAGCCCTTAGGGGCAGCTGCAAGGCGTTGGGCAGCGCTCGCCTGCGCCGAGCGAGTCTCCTTTTCCTGGCGCTCCACCGCCCCGCACCCCACTCTCCCACCCTCTCGCAACTTGGGTCGAGTTGACAACTCCCGCGGCGACCCGCTGGCCCGTGCCGCCTCCGCTGCGCACCCCTCCCCGGGGGTGAGAGAGAGCAGGCTCGCCGGCTCCGAGGACGCTCGGGCGGCAGCTGCTTGGCCATGAGGGCAGCGCGAGTCGTCTAACTCGCGGCTGTCACCGCCACTGCAGCAGAGCCGGCCGGCTGGGCGCTGCGGGACGGGCGGGCGGCTGCCGGCAGGAGGCGCCGAGCCGGGTGACTGCCGCGGCGGGCACAGTCCGGGGCCACAGCGCCGAGCCCGGGCGGGAGTGGCCCCGCGCAGGCAGGGAGCCGCGCCGCGCACTCCAACCCGGCGGGCACATCGGGGCGGGCGCGGGGCGCAGCCTTCTCGTCCCGGCCTCTGTGACAAGTGCGCCGGGGCCGGGAGCCCGACTGCCGGGCTCGGGGTGGGCGCGGACGCAGGCACTGGGCTCGTGCGGGGCCCCGGGCGTCGCGATGAACATCGTGGTGGAGTTCTTCGTGGTCACTTTCAAAGTGCTCTGGGCGTTCGTGCTGGCCGCGGCGCGCTGGCTGGTGCGGCCCAAGGAGAAGAGCGTGGCGGGCCAGGTGTGCCTCATCACCGGCGCCGGCAGCGGCCTGGGCCGCCTCTTCGCGCTGGAGTTCGCCCGGCGCCGGGCACTGCTGGTGCTGTGGGACATCAACACGCAGAGCAACGAGGAAACGGCTGGCATGGTGCGCCACATCTACCGCGACCTGGAGGCGGCCGACGCCGCCGCGCTGCAAGGTAACCCGGACCCGCGCGGGCGCATTGTTGGGTCAAGCCTCTTTCCACCCCGCGCCCTACCACGGCAGGCCCCAAACCCCGCTGTGGGGTCAGCCCCGCTGCGGAGGAAAGGGGCACCCCACCGGTCTTTTGGGAGACGAGTGGAATTTGCTCCCTGATAAAGGAACGCGATCACCTCTGTATTACCAGGGAGAAGGTGCCCAGTCCTCGCGGAGGTTCGGTCTCTTTGGGGACTACCGAGGCAGGGGCGGCGGGTTCCTAAGACCTTTGGGGTAGGGAAGGCGGAGGGAACTTGTTACCACAGGTTTGGATCCCAAAGAAATGTCTCGCTCCGACTTAGAAGCGGCGCGATGGGAAACTGAAGTGTCTTTGGGAAGTTCTGACTCGACTGAAGAAGTGTCTGTGTTACTGTGGTCTGAACCCCTTAAACGAGGGCAGTATTGACGATTTCACTATAAGTTTAGCCTGAGGAACATAATTACATTGTTTCGCCAGCGATAAGTGCTTTAGTTACATTCCCTGAGCGTGATTGAAAGACGCCTTGCTTCCTAACAGAAAGCTCTTGGAGAATTTAGGCTTCGTTGTAAATTTCTTGCATGTTTTTGGTCACCCCAGGAAATCTGCATTTCTGGATACTTATTAACTAACTTGAATCTGAGATTTTTTTTTTTTTTTTTAAGCCAAAGCAAAGTCCATAACCAACCATAAATATTGGTCCAGGAAATTTTATAATGGCTCTTGCTTTTTAACAAAATTTTTCGTTTTTAGGGAAAACATTTACCTGTACGGAGAAAATTGACTTGGGCACTTCTCCCCTGTATTGATAGTTTATCACCAAACTTATTGATACCTGCGTTTTTAATTTAAGGGTGAAAAGGTACCATTTTCATTGGTGGTATGGAGGGGTAGCAAATACAGATTTTTGTGCTCCCTGCCAAAACCTAAAAGATAAGGGTATTCATTTTCCAGGATACCGATTTTGGTTTTTAAATTGTCAAGTTCTTATGTGGTAAAATTGCATATTTACCTGTAACTTGATTTGTGAGAGTACTTCTTAGAGGAGTCAGCTAGCCCAGTTAGAACAAGTCAGTGACCCCTACTTCTTCATTAAAAATTGTGGATTCATTTCTTGGCTTTGGATGAATTTAGATTATTAATTGCAGTTTTGATTTGTGAGTCTTGAAGTGAGTTTCCATTTTGAGGGTTCTCATACTAAAGACTAAGAGCTGTTTCTCTTGGGCCACTGTTTCCCCAAAAAAGAGGAGTGTGTAGTGTGTGTTGTTCTCTGAGCTCTGGGCTGAGATCAGTTCTTTGCAGGTGTCTTTAGCTCCAGCGAGCTGATCCCATGTGGTCTACTTGTATTGGGCTTGTCACAATTACACGGCTTTCCCCTAAGCAAAGTTATCCAGTAAATTGCTGTAATTCCCAAAGACTTCATGGGAGGAAGGCAGCTGTAAAGCTCAGTCGTTGGCAAGCCTTGCAGCGTTAGAAATTTGAAGCTCACTGTAGTATTTTTGTTTTGTGTGATCTTTGTCCTACTGATCGCCATGTGACTCACTTTCTGCACTCCCTTCTCTTTTGCATGTTTTCTCCTCATCTGGACTTCTGAGGACAGCTGGAAATGGTGAGGAAGAAATTCTGCCCCACTGTAACTTGCAGGTTTTTACGTACACCTGTGATGTGGGGAAGAGGGAGAATGTCTACCTGACGGCTGAAAGAGTCCGCAAGGAGGTTGGCGAAGTCTCAGTCCTGGTCAATAATGCTGGTGTGGTCTCTGGGCATCACCTTCTGGAATGTCCTGATGAGCTCATTGAGAGAACCATGATGGTCAATTGCCATGCACATTTCTGGGTAAATATAAACATCCTTGTTTTCTTTGCTGGGCCCTCCTCAATGAGAAGGTTGGGAAGGAGAGAGACTTCAGTGCCAGCCTGAAAGGAACCTGTACTCTTTCACCGCGAGATCTCCTTAGCTCTTACCTATGGTAAACTGCAGTGTATGCTGGTTACTATTAGTCGTTTTGTCCCCCCCACCCCCACCCCCCAACTCAGTATTTTTGAGAGGGCAGAGGATTGAACATTTTGAACTAGTTTGAAAGATTGCCATAAAAATAACAAGAGGGAGCGTAAAACCCTGGGTTTGTTTATTTTACTTTCTGTTGAGTTTATAAAACATTGGTTGTTCTTATGAATTCCTAAAGTCAGGATTTAGGCTTCCAAATTACTGCTCAGCCACATTTTGGAAAGTGCCAAAGATTCTGAAATCAACATTTGTGCTCTGTTGGGAGTGGCCAGGCCACCCTGGCAGTCACTTCGCATCCCCTGACCATCCACAGGGTCCAGGGCATCTTCCTGTTGGAGGACGCCTCAGGACTCTCTTGGGTTAGACAGTGCCTCGCAAATATCACCCTGATAGAACCCTAGAGAGGGAAGTGAGGTGGTGAAACCTGGTAAGCTGGGGATTTAAACGATGTCCACTTCTCACCATTAAACAATGTCAGGATCTACGGAGCGGGGCAGGGCCTTCTGCTGCTCTAGGGGCAAAGGTAACCCCAGTTTTTCAGTTCAACTTGTCTTCAGTAAAAGTAGGTATGACTCTCTCCCCTATAACTGCACACTGCTGATCCACTTTGTGCTCTTTTTCCTCACAGTATTTTCCCTTTACTTTTGTAGACAAATAAGATTCAATAAAGAAGGAATAAAGAAATAGGATTCTACTTTTTTTTTTCCATAGGCGGATTAGCCTTCTAATAGAACACAACAAAGAACTGTTTCTCCTAAATAGGTCACATTAAACCTCATTAATTTTTTAGCAACTGCTTAAAAACTTAATCTGGCTTTAGAGGTGCTTATTCAAATGTTGCACCTCAAACATCAAACCTTTTCTCTGCTCTTGGAGGAGCTTATTTTGATGTTTTATTTTTAAACATGAACTTTATTTATTTATTTATTGAGATGGAGTCTCTCTCTGTTGCCCAGGTTGGAGTGCAGTGGCGCGATCTTGGCTCACTGCAACCTCTGCCTCCCAAGTTCAAGCAATTCTCCTGCCTCAGCCTCTCAAGTAGCTGGGACTACAGGCACATGCCGCCACACCTGGCTAATTTTTTGTATTTTAGTAGAGATGGGGTTTCATAGTGTTGTCCAGGCTGGTCGCGAACTCCTGAGCTCAGGTAATCCACCCACCTCAGCCTCCCAAAGTGCTGGGATTACAGGCGTGAGCCACTGCACCCGGCCTCTTTATTTATTTTGAGATGGAATTTTGCTCTTGTTGCCCAGGCTGGAGTCCAATGGCGTGATCTCAACTCACTGCAACGTCCACCTCCCGGGTTCAAGCAGTTCTCCTGTCTCAGTCTCCCGAGGAGCTGGGATTGCAGGCATGCGCCACCACGCCCGGCTAGTTTTGTATTTTTAGTAGAGGTGGGGTTTCACCACATTGATCAGGCTGGTCGTGAACTCCTGAACTCAGGTGATCCACCTCAGCCTTCCAAAGTGCTGGGATTACAGTTGTAAGCCACTGCACCCGGCCAACGTGAACTTTATTTAATTCATTTACAAACCTCTAGAAATGAATATATAAATGACCTGAGCTTATATATGTTTTGAACAAGTAAGGAGATCACCAAATACAGTTGGGGGAACTTCAGCTTGCCTGTAGATGTGTGTTGTGTT